ACTCGTTGCTCCATTGTGTCCTGTCTTCCAGAATAGACAATTTCCGAGCAATTCCAGAACCCACCGCGGGCACCCGAACCCGGCGGGAAAAGTGCGCATACGTCGAGCGCTGTGGCTGTTTCTCGGCCACAGCGCGCTGGCGCCATGGGAATGCCAAACGAAAACAAAAATAGCGCCACCGCCTGTTGACCATTGATAAACTGCAAATACTGCGCATTTCTTAACACGCTTGTATGTATCTCTTGGGATGAAATGCGAAAATAATGATGCAGTCAGTGTAGATACTTTCAAGCGAATCTATGTCGAATGGAACAGTTTAGTGGCATGCGAGTTTTCACGTGCCGATACGTCCACTTCAAACGTGCTACTGTAAGCCATGTGAACTAGAACACGGAATATAAATTGCTCAACGGCTGCTTCTTCACAGGTATAACAATTAATCGACCTTCGCTTGGTTTATTCAAACTACAGAGAGGTGTTTTGTGAGCTGTTCAGTCGGAGTTAAGCGCAATCTTTTTTTGGCCGCATGAACATAGGACAGGCTGGCTTATACTGTATCGACAAGTGCATCAGCGAGCATGGGAATTCGTCGAGTGCAGCCGTCTCGTTGCGCGTCGCTGCGTAAATCATTCCGATGTAATCTTTTCTTCGAAAGCATGGAAATTTTTTGCCATCACTCTAGATAGAATACAAGAAAAATTTAGGAGGCACATCGTGTCACAACTAATGTCACACTTTATGCAGTCTGCAGTTGTCCCCTAGAAGAAAAGAAATTCTAATTTATTATTTGAATATAAACGCTGGTTTTAGTTGTTCGACTTTCTGCGCATCTCTGACACACGCGTCATCCCCCTTTTGCGTATATGTTTTTTTCACGCCTGTAATAAACTTTGAGTTATTAGTGAGCGCAAGATGTTGTGTGTATTATCTTTTTTGAACTTTTTTTTCTCGTCGCTCTAAGTGTTATTCGAGCATCTAGTTATTGTGGCAACGGGGGTTAGTAGACACTTATCGTTTGTTATATATATGGCACGCGAAACGTGCATCCTGCTCGGAGAGCTTATCTGATTTCACAAAATGCCGACTGTGCTTTCTAGTGTAATCTTATAGATATCAGAAGCTCATGTCTTATTCGAGGACTGCGTTGATGGCCGTTGATTCCAGATGCATTTGCGAATAACAACTTACTCCTGCCCTTCGTGGGTTGCGGACATGTAACCTTTTTTTTATTTCCGTTATGCTGTTACGTACTGGAACAAAAAAAAAGAACTGCTTCTTAGTCGGCCAGCTGGTCCAGCAGTGCGACCGATGGAAATCGTGAACACTCCGTCAACGGTAAACACTAATGTTTGGGATTGAATTACGCATGTTGAGAAAAGGGACGAGCCACCGTCCCAATGGCGAAGCCCACCATCAGCCTTCTCTTACTTCGAACATACCCAAACTCACTCTACTCGTCCTGCCTCGACTCTACTACCGTTGTTCTTTATCTTTATATCGGCACCGCATACAATTTTTAACATCCTCTGCGGTGACGAATTGATTTTGCTTTCTTTAATGTTCTTGAGCAGGCCGTATCATCTTTCTACAATTTTTACAACATCCCCCGCCCTCCCCCTCCCCCTTTTCCGAGTGGCACGTGACGCTGAGGAACACTAACCCAGAGAGATTACAAGTGTCCGTACGAGTTCCAAGTCTCTGTCTGTGAGGTTACCCGGGCATGTCCTTGACCTTCATTTTCCATCGGTGCTGTCGACGCTTGTTCCAGGCTCGTCTGTCTGAGCGTGTTGACCTTGCTGAGCTTGCGTTGTCTCTGAGCAGTCTTCTTAGGGATGAAAATTCGCAGTGAAGGCTGTTACACGAAGATCGTGGGTAGCCTCTTCTGGGGAACCTCTTCCGTTTCTTTCTCGTCTTAGCTTAATTTACCTTGTGAGAACCTGCCATCTTCCTCCACCTCGGCTTGGGTTGCATCATTCGCTGCTGTGATTCGGTCTTGGCAATGGGCATCGGAAGTGATGCAGCCCGCATGATCCAGTTTCTTCTCTTCCTTGGTGTTCGTAGTTTTCCCGAAGAGCTAGATTCATGAGCTTTACAGGCAGTAGGCTACTGTTTGCTCACGGCCTTTCCATTTCGTCCTCTATTTTTTCCCGCCTATTGCTGTGGCTGTGATTTATTTCATCTGGTAACATGTAAGCACGGCATTGAGTACTGCCTCACAGTGGACATTCAACCTTTGTGGGTACTCATTTCTGGTATTTTCTTCAATGTGTCCTCAGTTTCCAAAGACATCACGCCATTGGATCGTAGAAGTCTTTTCGCCCACACACACCCGAGTAGCCGCTCTCATGTTAAGTTGACGGGCACTGGACGTAGACGAGGGCTCCGAAGGCATCAAATAGGTGTCTAAAAGTTCAGATTGTTCTTCATTGGTGGTCTTTGGTGTTGTATTCTCTTTCGTCGGAACGTTGCTATCTCTGCTTCCAACACATTTTTCTATCTGTCGTGGTGTTGAGCCTTTAACTTGTGTGAAAATACCGCAATCGATAAAGCATTGGCTAGATGGTAACGCCACAGGCGAAGAGAGTACTTCTGTGTGCAATATTGTTCTGATCCTTTGCTTTATCCTCTCCAAGTGAGCCTGCCGAGCCTTTAGTGCATCTTCAATCTTATATTCAGCTTTGACTTTTGCCATAATCATCGTCGACATGTCACGCGCCACGGTCTGGGTCACAGGCAGGGTTAGGCTTCGCACATGAGAATCACCCACCAGTGGCTTCAACTAAAGTCCGGCAGGCTGCAGACGTCGTCCAGAAGTAGTGAAAGTTTGCTCTGTCCCACCTCTATAGGCCATATGTCCTGGGTTTTACACCTCCAAAATGATGAGAAAAGGACGAGCCACCATACCCATGGCAAAGTCCACCGTCAACCTGCTCTTTATTTTTATGTTGCGATCTGATCTTAACCTAATGATAATAGTGTCACTGGTCGTCTTCTACACAACATTCAACAACGCAATAATATGTCACACTTTCACAAATTCTCTTTGCCTAAGAAGACCTCGAACGACGCAAGCAGAGAGCTAAAGCCTTTTAGGGGCAAAGCTCGTTATAGCGGCACCCGTTCGTCCTTTTTAGCTCTTGTAGTATGTAACAAGTATAACATTTTGACCTCCTAGGTCGTGCTGGTGAGAGATTTCTTCTGTGCGGAGTTGAACAATTAAAAATGTTGCTCAATGTACATGCAATGGCTGCTAATGGGGAATGAGAGACAGGAGTATTCGGCTTTTAGTTAACGTGCACGCTGCGATCCCTATTAGCACCCATTGGCCTGTACATTGAGCACTATCTGACAAAAAAGGATTGCTACGTTATACTCGCTGGGTGTAACCTCGTTAGTTTTAGAAAGGTTTAGGGAGCGTTGAGCCGCAGTGCTATGAATACAATGAACAAGTATATACCATGAATGAACACGAGGTGGTTAAAGGTGAGAAGTAGATGCGAAGCGCAAGCCGCAAGAAAGTAAAAGCCGAATTCTCCTGTCTCTCATTTCCCATTAGAAGCCATTGGCATGTACATTGAGCACTATCTGACGGAAAAGTGTCGCTACGTTATACTCGATGGGCGTAACCTCCTTAATTTTAGAAAGGTTTAGCGGGAATCGGGCTGCAGTGCCATGAATACAGTGAACTAGTCTATACCATGAACTCGAGGTGGTTAAAGGTGGGAAGTAGACCTGAAGCGCAAGCCGTAAGAAAGTGTTCGTGTGCCACCTCTCGTTTAGTCCTTGGAATGTCCGCTGGATGGTGGTGTTTCTATATGGGTAAAATATGACGAAAAGGTGCGAGATGGTGGTACTTGGAGTGTTAAATAGATGGACGAACGGACACACAGACAGATGCATGGATGGACGCATGAACGGACGCAGGGGCGGATGCGTGGACGAACGCAGCGACGGACGCATGAACAGGCGCACGCAAGGACGGGTGGACGGACGCATGAATGGTTACACGGACGGACACATGGACGGATGGAAGCAAGAACGAATGGACGGAAAAATGCTTCGCCCCACTCTCCATCATTCCCTCTGTGGATATGCTGCCAATTTTTTTCCATGAACGCATGAACGCTTTCAATCAGCATATTTTTTCCATGAACGCTTGCGCACCCGTTCATGGTGCTCGAGTGCTTAGAAATGGTCCATTTACTTGTCTAAGGACAAACAAAGGAGGGTTACTGTTTTGACAGCAATCCTGAGCGGGTTTTCTTGTCAAACAAAGCGTATGGTGATTCTATATTTCCTAAAAAACTAGGCGACCTTTGCAGGGTTGACCAACAAGGGGTTTCCCTATGTGTCTTACCAATCGTCAGTCAGCTTTCTTCGCTCTTGAGGAGGAGAGGTGTGGAACTGAAACGTTGATGCGAATAATTACAGTGCGGTTTCTCGCAATTTAGGTGACAGAGCAATACGGGGGTCAGTATTGCATGAAATTTCGAAAAATGGTATCATGTACAAGAGTAAATTGACAGATGTGATAAACAAAGAAAATAATATTGCAATGAACGCGAAGCAGCAACTGATGCCAAACGTAGCACTCGTTACCGAAAAGATGTAAAAACGTGGGTTATGATAATCTTGCGAAAAAACACAGTGGAAATACTTTGATGACGTGTCCATACTGGCTAATGCGAAAGCTTTACGCGGAGAAACATAGACCAAATGCCCGACAAGGACGAGCCCGTAATTGGCCTGAGTGCTTTCTGCGGTATTCAAGGCACTCCAAGCTAGGTGATTACGCCCCTTTTTATTACCATAGCTGAAATAATAAAAAATGATATCTCTCACGGTTTATTGTGATCAGTGGGAAAAACAGCAAGAATGACAAATACTTCATGACACAAAAGGTCGTAAGAAGAGGTGAGTAGTATGGGCTTGGCCTAGCTGCTAGGCCTCTACTGCCATGTCCATCATCCTATGCTGCGTGACATATGCAGTGCACGTACCAGGTGGCGTTGCGATGCCGTACCCCTTGTTGTCGAGTAGTCCTCCAATGGCCGTGAGGTTGCAGTCCCGCTCCACCTCGTACTCGATGGACGAGAACTCCATGAGGTACGCGTAGTCACCTCGCTTCACCCTCTCCACGCCTTTCTTGTTGCTCTTGGTGAAGGCCGATGGTCTCACTGCGTTCATCGTTGTCCACATCCGCTTGATCAGCGGATTGTCCGAGTTCTGTGACGCACAAGAGCCATTGTAAGTGAGAATCATCGAGTCATAGGTGATTTGGCCCGACTTGAGTGCATTAGAAAGAAAATTTCATTATTATTACCCGAAGTTACCATACTGCAAGAAAGTGAAATTAGGCGAAATTTATCACGGAAGCAACGGCTCAAGAATACTCAATGTACACGATCTTCCTTCAAGAGTGCCCACTCATGGGTGAGCCTTTCGTTCTTAGAATACTGTATATTTACTTTTAATTAATATTATTTCTTATGTGCTTGGTTTGATCTTACGCATACTCGCTGATATAGTTACTGTGTTGCCAGTCATCTTTATTATTATATAGGAAGCCTACAAAAGAGTAAGCGATAAAGATATATATAAACGTTTATTGTCGTTTACTCCTTCAGAACAACGTACAACAACGACTGCAAACCTGTTGGGAGTTATTTGAGGAAAAAAACGGTTCCGCCCAATCCACGCATGGACATAGAATACTCGGACGAGTGCCAACTTTTAACTCGTCTGTTCTCTTCGGTGCCCGTCCATGTCTTTTGTGCCCATGTGTAGTTTGTGTGCAACAGTTTTTTTTCTTTTAAGCGTGAAACAGCTCGCCCAGCAGTAAGTTTATTGAACTTTTGCAATTAAAAATTCTGAACTTCGAGAAAGCTAGTAATAAAGCTACTGCTCATAATTCTTATACACAACGTGCAAATGGTCTTGTCGAACGCCAGCAGTACATACTTCCCTGAAAGGAGGACACTAGAGTATGCATTCAAGATTCATAACATAGCGTTGTCAACAAGTTCGAAAGGAAGCATGTTATGGTACTGCATACTCGCCTCAAAGAAGCGATACGTCGATCCACCATCGAGACACCCGTAAGAGATCTTTGTTTGCTTGGCGAGGTCGTTAGCGTTCTCGATTGGCGACGTCATGCGCTGCGCCGTCAGGAAGGCGGCCAGGTTTGCAGTGTACGACGAGATCATGATGAGAGAAAAGAACCACCACATGCTCGATGCGATGCGCGTTGACGTGGCACTGCAAAAGAACTCGTGAGCTTTTGAAACACAGCTATACGTCGCAGCAGTTCTGGTATAATTGCAGCAATGTGCCAAACTTGGCTGGTTGCCCGCGTTTAAGACACGAAAAAGCAGCGCTGTACATTTATGGTATTTGGAATTCGTAGTATTTGTATTTATACGTCACAACAGACAGAGTTCACATATAATTCATATAAAATTGATGTGCACTTACTACACACAGTGTCCAGTAATATTTCATACGAAAATGATGGTGCACATGACTTTCTTCAATCAAAATTAGTACCGTTATTATTCATTGTTGCTGCTCTCTTAAATCACTACCTGCGTCTATTGTTCTCCGACCACCCAAAGTTCGGTACAGCTTGTTCACGTCTTGATCTGGTAATTGTTACGAAGAATAGTCCTAATAAACCTGAAGACATTGTGGAAAGTGTAGAATGTCATTGTTTTTTAAGGGGAAACATGTAAATGGTCTGAAAACATATTATGTCGCAGTAAGCACTCACTTTCAGGCGCGCCCCGCCGCGGTGGTCTAGTGGCTAAGGTACTCGGCTGCTGACCCGCAGGTCGTGAGATCGAAACCCGGTGGTGGCGGCAGCATTTTCGATGGAGGAGAAAATGCTGTAGACCCGTTTGCTCAGATTTGAGCGCACATTAAAGAACCCCAGGTGGTCGAAATTCCGGAGCCCTCCACTACTGCCTTTCTCATAATCAAATGGTGGTTTTGGGATATTAAACCCCACATATAAATTAACCATTTTCAAGCGCAGGAAAAACAGTGAATCGCGCCTTCCGTTAAAATGAGTGAGTGACAGTCCTAACCACGTGATGCGATGGTTAGAATAGGCAAGCCCTAGGAATACTATAGGCTTTTTACTACTTTGTTTAAGTGGTGTTTGTTCTGTTCACCAGTGAATGTTGCAGCTTTGCGTTTGCATGGAAACTAAAATATCAGTACTATAACTGTCTCTCTCTCTCTCTCTCTCTCTCTCTCTCTCTATATATATATATATATATATATATATATATATATATATATATATATATATATATATATATATTGTCACGTACCAAGGGCCGTAGAGAAGGGACAGGAACAGCGGGGCAGAAAGACACGAGCGTGTATCTTCGAAACGAGGCGCTAACCACACTTCTTCTTCGTTTTTCCTTGCCCTTTTCGGCTCGCTAGGGCTTGCCGGCTCACAACTCTAGGTGGCATTATTCCCCCTCCCATTAGAGCATCGACCCGATGCTCATACACAAGGGGACAGCAGGGTCGGTAAGGGAAAAAAAAAAGAGAAACGGTAGCTATAGTGCACAGGGCATATGCAGGTGCAAAAAAATTGTCTGAGGTTGGTCATAAGAGAAAAAAAAACCAGTAACAGAGTTCACAGTTCGTTCGAGACCCAACGGGCAATGTAAAAAAAACGAAAATGTTTGCTGCCCGGGCATAGTAAGACGAGTATCACCGCGTAACATAAGGTTTTAGGCGGACGACATGCACAATCTCTGTTCGTGGTGAGTGGCGCTGTGTCGTTGCCGAGCCTCCGTCTGGAATAACTTCATAGTTGACCTCGTTCAACCGCCGTAATACTTTGTTGGGTCCGAAGTACTTGCTCAGGAGTTTTTCGCTCAGACCTCGCCGTCTAACAGGAGTCCAAACCCACACTTGGTCGCCAGGTTGGTAGGAGACTTGTCGGTGGTGGATATTGTACCTTCGGGCGTCTTCACATTGCTGCGATCTTATGTGCACGCGAGCTAATTGACGTGCTTCCTCTGCACGCTGAATGTAATCGTCGACATCGGGAGTTAGTAGCTCGTGCTGGTCGATGTCACAAGGAATCATAGCGTCTAGCATGGTTTGCACGTCTCTACCGTAAACGAGGCGGAAGGGTGCGAACCTTGTCGTTTCCTGGGTTGCGGTGTTGTACGCAAACGTTACGTATGGCAGGATTTCGTCCCACGTTTTATGCTGCACATCCACGTACATAGAAATCATGTCCGCCAGCGTTTTGTTCAGCCTTTCTGTTAAGCCGTTACTCTGGGGGTGGTATGCGGTTGTCTTGCGGTGGTTCGTGTAACTGAGCTTGAAGATGTCGTCCAACAGTTTTGCCGTAAACGCTGTCCCTCGGTCAGTGATGATGAATGACGGGGCACCGTGACGAAGCACAATGTGGTGCATGAAAAACTGGGCGACTTCAGATGCTGTACCGCGTGGCAATGGCTTCGTTTCAGCATAACGCGTCAAGTAATCAGTTGCGACGATGATCCACTTGTTTCCGGAGTGAGACATAGGAAACGGTCCAAGAAGGTCCATCCCAACTTGGTCAAACGGCGTACGCGGTGGATCGATGGGTTGTAAGAGGCCTGCAGGCTTCACAGGTGGTGACTTGCGACGCTGACATTCGCGGCATCCTTTCACGTAGCGTTTGACACAAGCTGCGAGTTTTGGCCAGAAATATAGCTTTCGAACCCGGTCGAGTGTCCGTGAGTATCCCAGGTGGCCGGATGTCGGCTCATCGTGGCAGGCTAATAGGATGTCATCACGAAGGTCATGAGGGACGACTAGAAGATAAGATCTGCTGCCAACACCAGTGTTTTTCTTGTATAATATGTCGTGTCGTAAGCAAAATGACGGCAACGTACGGGAAAGGGGACGAGGAACAGACGCGGTGCTGCCTTCTAAATGATCGATGATGGGTCTTAACTCGGGGTCCGCTCGTTGCTTACTGAGGAGGTCCGCCCCACTGAGAGTCCCCAGAAAGGTGCTGTCGTCTTCTACAGCTGTATGGTCGGACTCCAGAGGTGCTCGTGATAGCGTGTCGGCGTCTTCATGCTTTCTACCCGACTTGTATACAATGGTGATATCGAACTCCTGAAGTCGCAGACTCCATCGTGCTAATCGCCCAGAGGGGTCTCGGAGGTTAGCCAACCAACATAAAGCGTGGTGATCACTCACAACTTTGAATGGGCGCCCATATAGATAAGGCCTGAACTTTGTAATCGCCCATATTACTGCGAGACATTCCTTCTCTGACGTTGAATAGTTGGTTTCGGCACGTGATAGAGTGCGGCTCGCGTAGGCAATCACACGTTCAATCCCATCTTGTGTTTGCAGCAGGATAGCTCCGAGACCAATGTTGCTTGCGTCAGTGCGCACCTCTGTGTCAGCGTCCTCATCGAAATGACCGAGTAAAGGAGGGGAACACAATCGATGTTGCAGTTCCGCAAAGGCAGTCGCTTGTTCGTCAGTCCACTGAAATGGGGTGTCGTCACGCGTAAGTCTGATGAGAGGCTCCGCAACCTTAGAGAAGTTTTCAATAAAACGGCGATAGTAGGCGCAGAGCCCCAGAAATCGCCGAAGACTTTTTTTGTCTGTCGGAGCTGGAGAAGAGGCCACAGCGGCAGTCTTCTCGGGATCGGGCCGAACGCCTGCAGCGCTCACAACGTGACCGAGGAACTTCAGTTCATTGTAGCCGAAATGGCACTTCTCTGGCTTGAGGGTAAGGTCAGCGGATCGTATGGCTTCAAAAACACTCCGAAGGCGATGAAGGTGCTCGTCAAACGTTTTTGAAAAGACAACGACATCATCTAGATAGACGAGGCAACTTTTCCACTTGAGGTCAGCGAGAACGGTATCCATCATTCGTTGGAATGTGGCCGGAGCGGAACAGAGGCCGAATGGGAGCACTCGGAACTCATACAGGCCGTCAGGAGTTACAAAAGCCGTTTTTTCGCGGTCACGTTCATCGACTTCAATTTGCCAATAACCACTTTTGAGGTCGATTGAGGAAAAGCACTTTGCTCGCCTCAGCCTGTCAAGAGAATCGTCCACTCGAGGCAACGGGTACACGTCTTTCTTTGTGACGTTATTCAGCTTCCTATAATCGACACAAAAGCGAAGTGTACCATCCTTCTTCTTTACAAGGACCACTGGCGATGACCAAGGGCTACTTGATGGCTGTATTACACCGTCTTGAAGCATTTCCTTCACTTGCTTTTGAATAGCGCGTCGTTCGGTTGGTGAAACGCGGTAAGGCTGTTGCCGTATAGGGTGCGCGTCGCCATAGGTGATAATACGGTGTTTGGTAATCGATGTTTGGCGGATTCTCGATGAACGTGCAAAACAGGCGTGGAATTCTATCAACAGGTCGTTAAGCCTTCGTTTGTTTTCGTCAGAAAGCGCTGGATTTATGTCGACGCCCCGGAGAGGTGCTTCGGTATTATCGGTTGCCTCGGAAGCAAAACACTCAGTCACATTAGTTACTGGGTAGGCATAGGCGATGACAGTACCAGGGAAAAGGTGTCGGCGCTCGTAGCTGAAGTTCGTAACAAGTACCTCGCAATGGCCATCCTGAAGGTCTACTAGGCTTCGTGCTACGCAGACACTTTGGGAAAAGAGCAGGGATCGATTGCTCTCCGCCACCATTTCACCGTGTGCTGATTTGTTACCAGCCACTTGAACCATAACACTTGAGCGCGGTGGTATCGTCACAGCATCGTCAATTACCCGCAGACATACTCGATCGTGGTCGGGATTATGCTCTGGTGTGGCGCTTTTTGTTGAGAACGTGACGAGGCGTTGTCGAATGTCGATGATAGCACCGTGCTCCCTCAGGAAGTCCATGCCAATGATCAGGTCTCGAGAACACTGACGGAGAACGCTCAAGCTGATAACAAAGGTTGAACCACGAATCTGTATTCGTGCTGTGCAAACGCCCAGTGGCATGACGATGTGCCCGCCAGCAGTACGAATTGGCTTGAGGTTCCAAGGCATCGTCACTTTCTTTAGAAGAGCAGCCTGTTTTTCACTTATTATAGAAAAATCCGCACCCGTGTCAACTAAAGCAGTGACTTTGCGACCGTCGAGCAGCACTGGAATATCTAATGAAACCTTTTCGGAACCAGCTGGTGTCGTCGTCGTCGGGGAATCGTCCTTTTGCGGAAGCGTCGGTAGGAGGCCTTGAGCTTGTCCAGTATGAGCGGCCTTGCCCCCGAAGGTCGCTGTGGTTAGTTTTCCCGGCGCGGACTGGGGGACCGACCCTGCGCCACGCTCGAATAGGTGCGGCGATTAGGAGAAAATCGCCGCGGTGACGGGGAGCGTGACTGGTGCAAGGATGACGAAGTTCCGCGCTGTTGAGCCACATACTCTTCAATATCAGGGGGCCGCTGACCGAACCTGGGTGGTGGTGAGTTCGTCGAAAATCCGCGTAGTCCAAGTTGCCGGTAAGAACAGTGTCGGTAAAGATGCCCAGCTTCGCCACAGTGGAAGCAGAGAGGACGTCGATCAGGCGCACGCCAGACGTCTGATTTTCGCGGGATCGGGCGAGGTGCGCTGTAATATGGCGCCGCTTGGACCGTCTGCAGCATGGCTGGGGCCACGGTGGGATGCGGGATTGCGGGTGTTACAGGTTGCTGCAAAGCTTGAGCATACGACATGCGGGGGAAGTCACCGGGTGGTTGATAATCCCGCATGCAAGATGGTTCTCTTAAAGCATGCTGGACTTCATCTCGGACAACGCTGGAGAACGAAGAGGTAGGGGGCTGCGAGGGCACTGACAGCTTCTGGAGTTCTTCGCGGATGACTGAACGTATGAGCTCTCGGAAAAAATCCATTTGGCCACCGAAAGCTCCAAAGTAGTCCGTAGTTGAAGCATTGACGTGCCGCTCGTATGACGGGGCCCGGTGCCTAAGGGTGCTTTCGATGGTGACAGCTTCCGTGAGAAATTCTGACACAGTCTTGGGTGGACTGCGTACAAGCCCACCGAAAAGTTGCTCTTTCACCCCGCGCATGAGGTACCGTACCTTCTTTTCTTCTGGCATGCCGGGGTCAGCTCGGTGGAAGAGGCGCGTCATTTCCTCGACATACATCGCAACCCCTTCATTTGGTAGTTGTATGCGGGACTGCAGATCGCGCTCAGCTCTCTCCCGACGGTCAGGGCTTGCATATGTCGCAAGAAGTTGGCGTTTGAAGTCTTCCCATGATGTAAGAATACCTGCCCGGTTCTCGTACCAGACACGTGCGCCGTCCAAAAGACTGAAATAGACGTGCCGCAGTTTGTCTGCGTCGTCCCACTGGTTGTGCACGGCAACGAACTCGTAATGAACGAGCCAATCTTCCACATCCTCAAGAGCAGTGCCATGAAAAGGATTTGGCGTTCGCGGTGTGAGTAAGGTGCAATGGAGTGGCGTTGTGCCGTTCGTACCGGTTGGGTTGGTGTCGGCATGGCTGGTCGGAGCTGCCATGTTGTTTGCGAGCAGTCCAAACTCAGGGAATTGCCCTCGGATCCTTCTGCTGGCGCGGTGCACAGGAGTGACCACCGGTACGACGCTTGTGTCCCTGGTATGTGGAGGGGTACGGTGCATAGATCACCCAGCACCTCCACCAGTTTGTCACGTACCAAGGGCCGTAGAGAAGGGACAGGAACAGCGGGGCAGAAAGACACGAGCGTGTATCTTCGAAACGAGGCGCTAACCACACTTCTTCTTCGTTTTTCCTTGCCCTTTTCGGCTCGCTAGGGCTTGCCGGCTCACAACTCTAGGTGGCAATATATATATATATATAGAGAGAGAGAGAGAGAACGTCAGAGTACAGGCAACACTAAAATACTTCATATAATATTGATGCCGATATTCTTGGATGAGTGTTCTTACTTGTTGCTGATCTCTAAGTCCACTACCTACTTTCCCGTTTTCAGTGCCATAACCTATATATAACGTATGCATTAATTTGTCATTATTGCCCATATGCTAATGGATTTATTCTATATGCCGTAACATTTCTAAAAAAACTGTGCAGGCATGGTAACGTCGCATGGTAAATATCAGTCAATACTATCACTTGTTTGCCCTTCTTTAGGTAGCAGTAGCGAACATTTGACTTTGTTGCAGGCACTATTGGTTAGTGCTAACGAGTTCTGTTGATGTGCGGGCCAACGGTGTAGGCGTACTCATGTGGATGTAAGGCAGCACCGTCTTGCTTATACGTCCATATATTTTAACAAAACACACAGCCATACATGATTCGGGTGTGACAGGTCAAAAAAGGGTGTGTCGTAAAGAAAAAAAAATACGAAGGGAATCCTGACTGGTTGCGAGGTAGCAGTGGTGCGCACGGCGTTGACACGGTAGGAACGGGCACCGACGCGATTGCTGGAAAAACGGTCTCAAGTGAAACTGTAGTAGCATTTACTAGAGTAAACGTTTGTTCGAAAAGCAGACATGCGAGGTAGTTTGGGTATCGTGTAAGTTTCGTTGCAAATAACAACTGTTCGCTCGATGTGCGCTCGAACGTTGGGAGCAGTAGAGAGGGTGAAGCGAGAGAGATGACATGCGGCGAGCGGCGACAAGCTATAGGGAACAGAGTGACGTCAACGCACGCGCACTGCGAAGGAAGGCGTGACCTACTTGGCACCACTCCAGCAACTATGACCAACGGAGAGCAGTGCGGATGGAGGGACAGCGTTACACAGGCTATTCAAAGACCTGTTTCGCCTATAAAGGGGGGAAGGACTAGTGGTCAATTTCGCTACATTATCCCCTTCAGCTGTGGCGGCTAGTTTGTGTATGTAACTTGTTCATGCTAGTTGTGTCCACTTGCGGCCAAGAAAGAGCAAGATGCATAGCTAATTGGATGAACTAAACTGTCTGAAATGCTGTATGTCTTGACTTGACCTCAGCGTCCTGCGTAATAACACTGCAACCGATTACAGTGGCAAAACCTTCAAAATGCTCATTGGGTCAATCGACGTACCATGCTCGAAAACCAGCGTTTAAACATTTGTTGGGCTTTTTCTCGAATAGAACACCACAAAAAACTGATTTCGCGTAGAGCAGGAGCCTACAATATTATTTTTTATGCCAAATTGCTTGATAATTACTACAAATGAATGAACATTACACGAAACAACACATTGGTTCCATTTTCACGTAAAATGCACTGTTGAACGTCTTGGAATTATGCTATATATATGTGAGTATGACACGTTCGTAGATAGTGCATCTTAAATCACACCTGAAAGTGTTATATTTTACCCTAGGATTCTCTTACATAGGCGTGATCTCTGATCCCTGCTGCATGATGGCTCCCGTCGTGAACCAGAAACTGTTTGGTAGATTGAACTGGTTCACCAGGTCGCCTTCCTCAGGAACGCACGGGTGTGGCGACACCCATTCATAGGGCGTGAAGCGGCCCATGATGAATATGAGCAGGGAGACGCCCAAGTAGCCGGTCAGCATGTACAGCCACACGTCGATGGAGAACGGGTGGAGAAAGGAGAACAGCGAAGGATCGCTCTTTTCCGTTTTCTTGAAGAGGATGCTGATGCCCGTGCTCATGAAGGGAATGGTGAAGTCCACCGCGGACTCCCGCTCGTACGTAATGGTCAGGTCCACGATGGCGGCGTCCGCCTTCTGCGCTTTGAGGAATTTACGCGATCACTGTGAACCCGAACCACTGAGACGGGCACTGGCCATCAAATACACGTTTTGATATGAACTCTTGTTTGCAAAAACACAGTGTTTCGATATCAGAACGTGGTCGTGACTGGAAACGCCTCAATAATGCCTTGCAATGTGGACACAGAAGTTAAAACAAGAAAAAAAAATGCAAGGAGAGTACGAAAATGGGCGGGTCACCTTCCTTCGTGCTGTCTTTGAGTCTCTTTTTTTAAGTTTTAGCTTATGTACGAACAAGCCTGTCTTTCACTACGTCTCTATGGACGCAGATTTCGACAAATGAGGCTGACCTTTAATTACTTCTTTTTTAATAACCTACAGCCAATAACTCACTATAAGGAAGCCAAATAAGACGTAAGTACGTATACAAAGCACATGAATGTTTAGAAAGGCATCCTATGATTAGCCGGTAAAACTTAAGAATCACATCGATATTTTTAATTCTATCTACTGGCAAAACGGTTTGGTTGCACCAGCTCGGAAAATCAGCGAAAAAATTAGAGGACCACAAATATTTGCCTTTAGAAGTTGAACGCGATAACGATATCCTGTTCTTAGTGCGTGCTTCAAACGCTTGGTGCATGAATCCTTTTTCAAACTTGCTATGCACCCACTCCGTAGCGTGTGTGCCTTTCGTAGTGGGTGACCGGCTTTAAACAACGAAGCTGTTATGATAATTATCATGTTCTGATGCCAGCGGGCAATGGTGTCTGTTGCACGCTTTACTAGCAACATTTTATGTTGCATTTTGAGGCAAGTGTAAAAGACGCGTGCGTTCGTAAATTATAAAAACTACTTTCACTGCATTTCCAAGCAGATAAAGTTCTTTTGACTGTATTCATAAGCAGAGTAGGACTGCCACAAATTGTCATTGTTCCATTGACCGTTACGTCATTGCTCATGTACATAATGTCTGGCAACAGACAATAAAGCAAAAAAAAAAGACTAGTGGCCATGTGGCAGACATTGCTTTTCTAGGCAAACGACCCGCATGCGATCTCCACTCAGACCTAAACGATCCTACCCACTGTGACCCATGATTTTTATATCATTTTGCATCATTCTCGATTTTTCAGTCCCGTATAGGATGATAATTTTTCGCTCACAGCAAATGACGACTGTGCCAACGCCGAAATGTCTGCGAAACGAGCTCTTTAACGCTATCGCATTAAAAAAAAAACTTCTAAGAAATCGACGCTAGTCAGTTCGCTACGCTTTGCGTCACATTCATATTTGATTTTCGCTTTTCTCGGTAAATGTTCTATACAGAGTGATAAAAATGAAGCTTTATCGTTTTTGTTTTAAGTTAAGCTCTGGGAAGCACAAGAAAACCACCTTTGCAAATAAGTCATGTGTGCAGGAGCAAGCAAAGTGAAGCATTACCTATCGCGTCAGCTGCCTAAGAAACGGTGAATAATTTACTTTTTAGTGAGAGCAGGAAGCAGACACGTTTAATTAGAAACGTTGCAGGTATTTGCATCAGTTATATGTGGTAGAATTTTTCAAGTGTGTCTGAGCTCTGAAATATCCCACTGAAAAGTCTAGTCGTGTTTCACATAGTTACGTGAGCGGGTCAGTGAGCGCTGACGCAAAGCTCTTCTCCGGTGCACCAAGGCAGTAGTGTGCAGAGTTCAATCTGATGATGCGTTGAAAGCACACGTAAAGATGGTAATTATTACCCCTTTTTTTTACCGCCTGGTGTAACGAAGCAATGACTGCGCGCCGCGTAAAGGAAGAATATAGCACTGATCCACTTTGCCTTGCATGCGCATTCATGCAAACCGCGGTAAAACTTTGAAGCAGCATATCTCTGAGTAAATACATAGCAGGAGAATTCGTGCAAGTGTAGTTGTGCAAAAATGTGACTGCCCTCAAGTTTTCAGAACATGCATACCCGCTCTGTTGCTATAAAATGAATTAATCATCTTTATTTATTTAGGCCTCTGACAGCGATGATTCATCCCACTTTGTATGTTCCTGGATACATAAGTTATTTTCAATCATGGTTTTCATGTTCTACCATATATACACAGAGAAAGCAACATTTATTCTTGTTTTCGTAATGGCATACCCTGTCTAGTAGTTCTTTGATCATTCCATTCCACTCATTGTTGGCCTGCGGTTTTCCGTACGCACCATCGGGAGTGAGGTAGAACTCGTACTTGAACCCTATCTCCCTCGCCAGCATCTTGATAAGGTCGATGCAGTAGCCGTAGAAACGATCGTTTCCGGTCATGTTGCTTCCTTCTGGGTGTATCATCGTGTATGGCCGACTCTGTGAAAGCGGTGATTAGAAAAAAATATAAAAATAAAAAATGCAGTGTGAAATACTATAATTTCAACGAGTTGCGAAGGATTCATTATGAAATTGCGGCGCACACAACTAAGACAAAATGCAACTGAAGCAGTGCTTGTTTTTTTTTTACTTCTGTTGCTCTTCGCTTCGTGCGTCCTTCAATTTCGTATTGAGAGAATGCTTTCTGCAATAACCTCGCTACCATCGGACACCATGTCCGCCAAATAACCATACGTACGTCCACAATACTGCCGTGATCTTCGAGAATACCAGTTACCGCATTCCCTTTTTCTAATACAATAAAAGGCACACCAGCCTCTGGTGGCCTGAAGGGCGCACGCAACAAGCTTTTATTGCGATAGCAAATATATTGACACAGGCGACTGAATTTTGCCGCCAGGCTCACTCACCGTATGTGTAAACGTATCTATATATTTGTAAACGCAAGAAAGAAAAAAAAAACAGAAAAATATTGACAGATGCTACGTGCAGTAGGAATCGATGATATGCGAAGCACGAATGTGAAAGGTTGATATATCACTTCAAAAGCACACAATGCCACGAGGTGGACGTAAATTGTACCATACTCAACATCCATGTCTTTATTATCATGTTTTGGTGTTTCGTTTACCTTCCTCGCCTATTCACGTCACGTGGCACGAACTTTGGTTAATGTGGAGCTAGCGAAACAGCCGTGAGCGTGTTATGAGCATAGCGTGTAGCCATGTTTGACATGACACGCATGTCATGATTATCATGTTTGGACGCGTTATTTATTTTCGTTGTTCATTCCCGTCACGTATTAAAAAAAGCTTGGCGCATGTAGAGCTAGCGAAACGACCGTGAGCCATCTATGAGCGCAGAATGTGGTGTTTATTTACATGACACGCATGTCATTATTCTCATGTTTGGACGTGTCATTACCTTCGTCGTCTTTTATGTCACGTGATACCAAATTTAATATATGCGAATCCATTTAACCGATGACGAGTGCACCATGAGCCTGGCTATAGTAGTTCTGACTTACAAGACGTTCATGCCATCATTTCCACCTTAGAGTCGGCCACTTATGTTCGCCGTGCAGTCATGTCATACCATACCAGTTTTGCAATTGTCATGTGAAAGAGACCTCCACAAGAGCAACAAGACCATGAACTGTGAATTTTGACATACGTGTCATGATTTTCATGTTATGACTTGTCACTTATGCTCGTCATACAGTCAAGTTAAGCTATACCAAAATTGGTATCGGTACAATTATCGAAACAGCCATGAGAGCTAAAAATCTAAGGCAGCTAGCTAGCTAAATAGATACGCTCAAAGTTGCAGAAGCTCGCTAATAAGTGATTCACATATAAAGGACTCCGGTGCGATAAATCCAACCTCCGACCTCCGAATTGTGGATGCGAGGCGTTAACCACAGAGCCACGAAGACGCGCCTCCTCCAAAGTTCAAACGGCAAGCTATTTATATCTACCACTTCCCCCTGGCGAAAGGCATCTCGGGGGAACTACTATTGTGTTTTCAGCATTGCCAGCGAGATGGTGCAATGAGCGCTCGTCGCCAGATTGTCACGACGCGGTGGCGCGCGCTCTCATCTCCCACACCTACTTAGGCCCTCGGGGAGGGGACGCTCCGCGAGCACACTCTTATCTCGCGGTAGGGACAATCCTATATTTACCGGAACAATTCTGTTGTGGTTACCGGGCGCACATTGGTCACTGCACTCATAGCACAGTGTTCGTTAACGAAAAAGGCATGCTTTTCAGACACAGTGAAGTAACAACAAAGATGTTTATTCGCGTTCATCTGTACCTGTGAGGACGTTTCGCGCGTCATTTTTGTGTGAGAGACACAGGGCCCGTTTTGATATGCTTGCTATTTTTCGTGCGACCTTCCAGTTTGTTGCTATATCGTTCATTGTGTCGCCTTCGAGGCAAAGCTTTGACATTTCTTGTGCACTGTCGCGCCCAAACACTCTATAAATGCTTCGACGTACAGCTACCGGAAATTATGTGCCATATATAACGCACTGCTTTCTATCTCTTTTGCGAAAACGTTTCCATTAGAGGACGGCTCGGAGGGAGGAACTGTTATGCGTAATTTACGTCTGCGTTAAAAGTCCGTCTTGTTCGCACAGCCACTATTCAACGCAAGTCTTTCTCATTCACTACACTGCAACCGCATTTTCAAGATGCGCAGCCTAATCTCAGGACATGATTGACAGCATTTCACCTTCTCTGCAGGAAAAGAAGTAATTATCAGAGTGATATACATGTATTGTAGCCTTTGTGTTCGCTTTGATGAACACTAAATTTTTCGTCCACGCACTGTGGATGATTGCGCGAAATCTGGTCGGTTATAAAAAAAGGAATTGAGGAACGGAAGACTTGCAGTAACAAAACCAGTAAAAATATCCTATGAGGCGGGTCTCTTTCAAAACAAGAACCTACGCTATGCTGCCTTTTTATTTGAGAACCACAAACCTCAGAACGATTGAGAGAAAAAGGGGGCAGAACATAATCAGACTTTATAACGTAAGCGAGCGTGTGACGAAGTCTGCACTTCTGAAGTTCTTCATCACTGACACACTTTGTTGTGTTGCTTCTTGTTATGGAAAGTCAAGAAGGACACTAGTCTTTTGTCTTTGAGAAGGGGTAAGATATATTTTTGCCAAAAAAAGTTGTGTTTAAGGAAATCGTGGTGTCTACGCGTGGTACTGGCTAGTCCTCCGACATGATCGCGCTCCCCGTGATGTTCTTAGTAACAACAATTATATAGGAAATGAAAAAGGGAACAAACTCTCACATAGATATTACCAGTGCCTAAACATAAACGCTCCTTAAAAAATATTTTTGGTAAAAGAAATTATATTACATGTACTGAAGTACCATTACAACTACATGTGGCTCATGCAGCTAACAATAGTTAATGTGACCAAAATGCTTCACAATTAAAAACAGGAGGCGAAGTTCAGATCAAACTTGTCCTAACGTCGCTGCGCGCAATAGCACAAGCGACATCATAATTATCACAATAAACTATATGAGGCAAAGTAATTTGTCGTGTTTATAACAATAGTCGGTTCTCAGGGCTACCAGCGTCTTTCATATCGTGCCCATACCACATTTGTTTCTGCAAACATTACTTGCTGTTAGAATGTGCCAGGCAGTATACATTTTGTAAGTGCTTGATGAAACACTGTTAGAACATCTTGTAGAAACTATTACGTTATGTGTGGACAAATAGTTTGTACGAACAGTTGTGTTCTCTCAATACTCCTGCTGAGTGAGGATTTGCTTATGTGAAGCACGGGAATTACGCGAGTAAATGTTCGTCAGTGTGCCTATTTTTACAGATTTGTTATTGTGCACAAATTCATGGCGACAGCTGTTATGCGACAGTAGAGGAGTAAGAAGCGTCATACATGAGTGAAAAGCTTTCATTAAATAATTTTTGTGGTAGCAGGAAAAAGACTCACGCTTACTCACAGTAACATGCAAAGTCTGTTCAAAGACATGGAAAATAATGGCAGAGTTGGTTCTAATGTTCCACGCTAGGACAGAGACACGAGAGGAGCAAATTGTATTCATATCTCTTGCACAATTGTATCACTGACACTGAAACAAGTATAATCTTTAGTCAATCGTGGCTTAGGATAGAATAAAATGCGAGGTGTTTCTTTCTTTTACTCACCTCGACTGTAGTAACTCGCAGGGTCAAGCCTTCGAGCTTGTCTGTAAACTCTTTTTCTGCAAGCTGGGTGTAATTGACAAAGTATGCGAGGCCATTCACTGGGTGCCACGTGGCTACCTTTAAAAAAAAGAAAGAAAAAACGAATTGAGTGCCAAAGAACACCGAAACGAACAATCATCATTACCCATGCGTTGCCGGCAGTGCTCTAATAATCTCTCGGGTTCAGTGTCCCAAAACAGTCATAACATTAGGAGAGACGCCGTAGCGGAGGGCTCTGGAAATTTTAACCACCGGGATTTCTTTAGCGTGCACCTAAATCTAATTACGTGGGTCTCGAACTTTTTCACCTCAATCGAAAATGCGGCCGCCGTGGCCCAGATTCGACGCCGCCGCGTTCGGGTCAGCATTCGTGCGCCATAACCACAAGACCATTGGGGCAGGGCTCGGTATCCCATGCAATTTTGTTTCAATATATAGGGCTATATGTCAACACTGAAAACGATGAAAATATTTTCAGCTGTCATTGCAAACATGAATAATTAAATTTATATGATGCAATTAGTCACATTAAATTCAGAGATAATATTTCAATAATTAGGCTTTGTGGTTGACGCTAGCGTCTGGTTAAAAGTACGAAAATGTAACCTTAGTTTGGTTGTACTGAATAATCAATACCTAAGACACTCAAAGAATCAAAATAAGTACTACTCTGATAATGAACTGTTGCGAACTTCCACAACGATACCGACAAACTAACCATGCTTAAGATCAATTTGTTCGCTTGACCTTGAGCGTACTCACAAAATTGCCCAGACTACCTTCAAATAATATGATACGTTATTCTACGGCTGTTCTGTAGTTGGAGGTGGCAATATTGGTACGGAATTGCCTGACACTTCCAAGTTGTATTTGTACTTGATTTGACGTGAACATTATTAAAAGTCACAATAATATATATATAGCTCTAAATTAACAATCCTATAAAGCATGTAAGAAAAGTTTAGCGCAAAATAGTACCTTCACAGTTTATCACACGCTCTAAAAATCAGCAATATTCCCGGGACTTCCACCACGATGCTTCGCAGCTTAGTCCCCCTTGCCGTGGTCCAACGGCGACGCTTCGTAACACCAAACACACACCCAAGCATGCACTTTATACTAAACTTAAATTTTTTCTGCTCGTCATTCAGCCAGCATGCTTTTCACAGGACTTTTTAATAGCCAACTGACCACAGTATTCAATATTAGGAATACTAACACTAATAATAATCAAATATAATAACAATTAACAATGATAAGCAACTCCCCTGTTTTGGACTTAAGGGCTGCTACATCAAACACGTGGCCTGACGACCTTTCGCTAGCGCTCCAGCCCACACTTGAATGTTTTCATGCCATCTTTTTGGTCGTAATAAGCATGTTAACGACATACACATGTGTGATCAGTCTCAAGCAATTTTTCCGTGAAGCACCATACCCGCTCACCATGCGTTAAAACATAGCTGTTGAACAAAAATATCATCGAAGAATCGGTGTCTATATTTCGACGTTTCAGACATTCCGGAGATAAGCAGTTATGTGTTTCTTTTTTTTGAAACCTGACGTCTAGTCCCCTTCAGAAATGAGGAATACAGTAGATATACAGACAATGCTTTCTATCAAATACATATGCTAGCTGACTTTCTTCTGAAACAACCACCTCCCGCCACCCGCTCTAGCCTCATTCAACCTATCCTACTGGCCCATGGGGAGGGAAAATGAGCCTTGCCCCCACGAAGTGGGAGGCAGAAAATAGCACCACCTTTATCTATTCCTTTTTGAGCAAATCACTCTTTATAAAGCCCGCCAGCTGGTGTGAGTTTTAGACTTCATGTCAGCATAAATAGGGTCATTGGGCAAGCGTGTAAATGTCAACACTTGAATATACAACCCCTGATTCTAAAGTTTGTTTTTTATCAAAACTATTCAACACTAAGTAGACAGCTCACCTTTATCATTCCTTTCGACTTAAGTTCAATGACGTCCATGTAGAAGTCCTCGCGAATTCCACGGTGTTCGATGCGTACGTCGCCCGTCAATCCCCGAATTGTTGTCTGCATTAGTAATAAATAAATAGAACACTTATAATATTTCTAGCATGATTACATGTACGACTCAGCTCGACAACAACCATGAACACCTACATATATGGCTATTAAACGGACGAAAATTACGGCATTGGCGGAAGCTTTCCAATATAGCCCTTTCATGGTACACAGGCTGCATCTTTAGTAAAAAACCAGAAGCTTTAACCGCTCTCTCTTTATAGCTAGGTATATGCTTATGGATGCCACTATTTGCTATGTAATCGTAAACCGCGTTCGTACATTCTATAAACTATACGAAGGTAGTAATTTTTCTGGCCGCATCTCTGCAACGTGTCAGGCCTTATTTGGTTTGAAGGCAGCGCCATTGATTTCACTGTTAATTCTAATAGGTCCTCAAGCCGCGCTTCCAGTAGTGCAAGTATTGTTTTATATGCTGTGTTGCTATTCAGGGCTTCCAAGAAGAAAAACATTGTCGAAGTTCCTGGATAGCTTTACTGACATTATCGCTTGCATTTTCTCAGCGCAGTAATTTATACTACACCAACAACGCCGAATACACTCGCACTGGTTGTTTTTTTTTTTGGAGGGGGGTGAAAATGCTTCAGACACCCAAATACTTTTCACTTTACTGAAAGTTTCAAATTAACCGCCAAAATCACTATACTCGGCGTCAACGTTCTGTGGCAGCACAGCCAAAGCTACGTGGGCGGAGCTTATGCACATGTGTTACAACGCCAAGTAGTCATTTTTGTGTGATTTCGATTTTGGTTTCGCAAGCACATCCAACATGTACTTTTTCGCCCGACCACCATGCAATAAATCTGACTTTTTTTTCAGAAATTGAGAGAAATTAAATGAAATGCTAATTTTTCAAGGAAAAGAACACGAAGCTTCTTTGAAACATTGAGGTTTATTTCAGAAACAAAAAAGAAGTACGGCCGAGCAGGAACAGTGGCGGATTGGAACAATGCAAAGCCAAAAAACCATTTCCTAAACTGCAGTGCATACTTGGTCGGCATCAATGTTTCCCTTTTTTTAGAGACGCAAGAACTTTCTGGAGGCGCACACATTATTTTTTTTTACGGGACGCAAACGCAGCGATGTGAAGCAGAAATCTTGCCACCGATTGGTCATGAGCGGGCGTCTGACGTTCGTAAATCCAAGTGGGTGAAATGCAATCTCTATTCGACCGAAAACGTTGCACTTTCACAGTCAACAGGATAATATACATGAACGCGTCTGTTACCCAGGCAAAGCGCAAGCAACGACTCCCTCCGTAGACGCCGACAAGAGTGGTGTTAGGGTACCCGATCTTCAGCGTTATCGTATCAACAAAATTAGGCAGCCAAAACACCGACCAAGTATGCAACGCAATAGAGGAAAAGGGTCATTGGCTTTACGTACAGTTTCCAATCGCACTTTTTGTTCCAAGCAGCTGGTGTTACTGAAAGCTGGCAGGTCACCGCTGTCACTTTCAGGACGGCTATAACAGTTAAGAGCCCCGATTTCGCTGATGATATCACTAGCACACAAATTCTCGGTGAGTGCATGTGTGGGAAACAAAATATTTCATGACACACTGTTCTCTTTGTTTCTCCCTGATTGATGAATAGAAATCAGCTGATGAACACGCACTAATTCTCGCTCGCAAGCTTCGATGTAAAGTTTCTGCAACCGTGCGACGCCATCGTTGTTTACAGGGGTTAGAGAAAAGGGGAACTAGTACCATAAAAGTTGAAAACTATAGAAACAGCAAAGAACGAACTCTATGCGGGTGATGCTTCCGAATAATAACGCAAATGATTTTGAACATAATAATACATCTTTTCTTTTTATATTTTCCATTATACTATGCAGTATATAAAAGTTAACTTTCGTGGTCTACATGCAGAAGCGCAGTAAAAAAGTGCGTGCTTGGGCTTCGTAGCCTTGGCTGTGCTGCCACAGAAAGCTGTCGCCGGGCATACATGTCATCGTACATAGGGAGTTTTATAGAACAGGGCACCGCGAGCCCTTGCGGTGTGGTCGCTGCCACTGCACATGCGTCGTATAACGCGAGTCGCCGTCTGCGTTCACGGCCCGCACGCAGAAAATCCGAAATAGCGTAGGGCGACCGCGACCCGCGAGGCCCGCGAAGTGCTGTGTGTAGCTTCCGTGAATTTGCGTTTGAGGTCGGGCGAACGTCTCCACACTTTTCTTTAGGGAAAGCGAACGCTATACTAAAACTCTTATGACGCCCGCTATGCCCGCAACGCCCGCAGCTCCTCCAAACGTTATTCTAATGCTCCCTAATGTCCTGTTCCCCCTAATTGTTGCTAGCAATCACCAACGTGTCAACTATAGAGATTCCTCATAATTCCTTTTATTGAGCAATTATCTTATGAACGTTTCTGAAATATGGCTTATATCATTAAAGACGATAATCTTCCATGGGATACTTGAACGCAGAAAGTTCGGTCTGTCTGCGAGTCTGTCACACGATTCAGGCCACCGCCCAATGTTGAAACACTACCTGAACACCAAGCCATCTTGAACTGATGCTTGCGTTCATACTTGTGTACATTGTCTATGAAAAAAGAAATATTACGCATATCTGAAGCCGGGCTCAGATTTATGTCACATCTATCATAACAGTCGTATCACGTAAGAGCTGCGTGATCTGTTTACGTAGCTAGCGACTACGTATGTTCACATTAATTTCGGTAGGATACGTTTTTTACGATGCCCCAATAATCACTCTGATTGAGCTTAGCATCTTCGGTGAAATTGTAGCCTAGCGTGGATCGAATGCTTGACCATGGCTGCAATGGTTGAGTTACACGGAGATGCGACGAGCATTGTCATCAACTCACGTAGCGTCTTCTAGCCCGGCAAACCAAGTGGACAGACACGCTACTGCTCGGCTCTCAAAACGTTCATGAAGACGCGGAATTCGGGGAGGCTGGAAGCCCCGCGAACGGAAAGGGGCAACCTAAAATACTTCGCCCATTGGTCGTACTTAACGATGGCATAAATAGTTGTCGTCAACCCTTCCTTTAGAAAGATGCCTGCGGCATCACACGCTTTCTCATGGGGACGGGAGGTTCTTCGTTGTTCAGTGCTTTCTCCGCAAGGAGCACTCGCAGCCGACATTAGTACTTTCGCTGGATTCGGAAATGGCGCCATCACAAAGACACAACTGTGTCACCTTCGAGACAGCAATAGACAATAGAGTTTCATACAATAATACCTAGAGAGAAATCTGACACTGCGATCCTGTACCCTCGTGGGAATTAGGGGAAGTACAGGCTTCGTATTGGATCACGGCTCTTTTTCTGTAGTTTCCGTTTCGTTCTTCGCGTTGAGTGGGTTGTGGGGTGGGCACAAAGGACTGGAGCAGCGCCTTTGTTGTTCAAAGAAGCTGAAAACTGCCAGGCCTCTCAATTTACTGCAACGCTGGAGCTGCATCAGTCGTGCTTGACAGTTCAAATGAAGCGTCGTCCATTCACCGCTGCGCATAGATGTAGCGTCCCATGCCAGTGCAGGATATTACACAAAGATCACATTTGTTGTTAGTGCGTCTTGCCAAAACTCGTTGAAATCAACTGGAAAACGATGGCGACAAGAAGTGGACGCACCGCCATGCTCTTTTTACTCGACTTCACAACAAAACGAGAGGTGCGTTGGGGGCAGACCACTTGAACCGACACACCTGGCATCGCAGCAGACAAAACGTTAAGTGTTCTTCACTTAATACTGTGCTTTTGTTTCTATAAATAGATATTGCGTACTTTCTATACGGCAAACCAAGAATGTTTGTTTTCAAATGTTGTAAGAAATAATTCATTACATCTTTGCGCCAAATCTGGAACGCAATGACAGAGCAATGCATAACCTGGTAGTTAAATTTGTCGAGGTTTCACTTCTACAGCTTAGTCACAAGAACCGTTTGCAATAAAGTTTGCGTACAAAAAATGAAGCAAGTTACACTTTCATATATCTTTATATTACTTTGTTTGACACTCGGAAAAGAAGCGTCGCGAATCTCAAGAACGTGATCCATCCGTAGCAGATCCGAAGCCTGTACTTCCCATCATTCCCTTGCGGGTACAAGCGCTGCTGAAGGAGCCCGCGTAGACACTAGCGCCACCACTCTAGATAATATTTTATCAAATCCTATGGCAATAGACTTTGATTTAATCTCAGAGGCGGCTTAGTTTAAAGTGGCTGCCGCAGCGAGCGCTCACCGCCGACAATACTTGGGGGAGCGGAAGAGGAGAGAACAGGAGAGGGCCAGGAACCAGATTTTTGGCTCAAGTCACAAGCATCTTTCTAGAGGAGACGTTGTTGTCGCAAATTTTGCGTGCTCGCCATCGCTTGCGTCATTTACGTTACGCTCTTAACGCTATTTACAACAACCTCTGAACAAGGGCATTACGCTGCTTGCGTCTATCTTGAGCTATTTACAGTAATCCGCACGTAGCGCACATAAACTGAACACGACTTGAGGCGCCACACCAATGCAGAAGTATTAGGAGGTGTGTTACTTTACTAGAAAATACACAGATACAAATTTGTAGAGACCATACCGTTTCTTAGGCTACGCTGAAAATGTGACGCTATGCATGAGAGAAGGCCGGCAGAAGACTATCGCCTTTCGACGACATTTGCATGGGAGCGTGCAGATACACGGGCAATTTTTTATACCTGACAAGTGGACACTTTTGTTTTCGCAGTGTAGCTGGTTAAGCCTTTTTTTTTTCGGGGGGGGGGGGGGGGTGGTTTGCCACATATTGCAAACAAAAAGCATCATCGTGAAGCTTCATCATCGTGAACTCTCATCATCGTGAACCCTCTTTCACTTCAGCCCCAGATTTCGTTGCTCTAACTAGACCTCATGCAATAACTCTGATATGAGGGCAGAAAAAGAGACGAAGAAAGAGGTAAAAAGAACGAGGAAGAGGAAAATGGAGAGAATGAAAGAGAGCAATTCTTGGCAAAAGAATTTCTTGCCTAGACGATATTGAAACCCGCGAACCCACGATCCGATGGCGACAGTGGTAACCACTGGGCAATTCAGGAACGCGAACAAAGCATAGCATAACCTTGCATAATACAGTTCACAAGTTAGATGGAAATTGACAGCGAAGGTGAAGAGACCTTATGAGAGGGCAAAGAAGACAAGGAGGAAGAGACAGAGGAAAGGAAGGCACGTAAAAAAATAGAGAAATAGTAAGAACAAGAGCAAAGAAATTGAGAAATGTAAAGGGAGGCCAATTTAAAGCAAAATGTTAATAAACAGTGAAATAAAAAATAAAAGTAAGGAAATAGAAGAAATAGTAGAAGAGAGAAAATAAAAAAGAAAATCAAAGCGAAAACTGAAGGAGAGTGAGAAATAGAAATGAGAGGGAAAAGGGAATTGAGTTAAGAAGACTAAAAAAGACGTAGAATAAGAGAGAAGAGAGCAAAAGAAAGCCGGTAAGAAGTAAACAGAAAAATTTGAATAAGGATTTCAAGCTGCCTTGCTGCGCCATTCTTGAGGCTTGGCACCACCTCTGCAAGCTCAGTTATTTTGTTTGTTTTCCAATGTAAAGACTGATCTTTACACAAGGCCTTGCCACAGGGACGTGACATCAATGATTAGATGTAAAATCTTGCTTTTTTGATTTGCTGACGTGAAATTAAGCGGCTTATATACGCTGGCAACATGTAAAGCATCGCATGGCGGCCCACCCGGAGTATATACCATTTTCATAGACTCCAGTAGAGATGATCCATGTTTCCAAGGTTTCGGTTGATCGCAGTTAAGTGACTGCAGGTCCAGATTATGCATCACACGGTCGGCATTGTGAAGCCCGGTGGCGAGGAGAGTCACGGCGTCGTACATCAGTGCTGTGTCTGTCTGCGAACAAACAACGCTATTTGTGGGTTAAAACACCTCATAAGCCTTCAAGTCATCACTCACATCAAATAAGTTCCTTATCATGTTTTTTTTAAACCAAGATTAGCGGTCAATAGCTTTCTGGTTTTGTTGGCTGAAACCTTTTCTCTATGTAATTGTGTTTTTATTGTAAAGACGTCTATGCTAATAACAGCAAAATATCTGAAAATAAGTAACAAGTAAACTTTGAAATCAATTGTACAACTATTTTATGTAGTCTTGTCTCAATGTGTCCTTTCCATGTAATGTTTGAACGAGACCGTGTTCATATATATTGATGTGAACACATGGATTTTTATCCTTCCTTATGCCAAATTGTTTAAAAAGACAGTGTAACAGTGACTTGGAAAGCATAAATAGCTCTAGTTATCGCAATTTGCACCAAACGCGTAGTATGTATAATTTATTCAAAATGCTAGTCTGCTTGAGAATGGAGATACTAATCCTCACAGTACGCGAAATAACTCTTGGAATGCAAAGGCTGACTTCTCGTACGTCGATAGAAATCATGTCCGAGTAGTTGGTGGCGCCGTATCTCCAGAGTGCCCTGCCGATCTTTAGGTCTCGGACGACATCCACGACCTCTGGTCGTTGTGGATCCACCAGTCGGAATGCGGTGATGTTGGCTTGGAGGTCCGAGAATTCGGTCAAGTCAAGAGTGTGCAGATCCTGTGAGAAAATGGCAGCGAAATCGTCATTTGCGTAGCGCAGATCTATTCCAGGATAATGAAACAGCGCTCCGTGAGACCATTGTTACATGCAGTGCCACCTGACGTCATGCTGACACTCGACGCTCATTCATCTTTACAACACATGCATACCGTTCACAATGCAGTTTTAGGCACTTACGGAGAGGAAAAACGGGTGCTGTGAGCTGTTGGTTGCATAGCAATGTTGCGATATGCGAGATTAGGACTTATGGCTTGGATTTGCATTGTTCACGAAGAGCCCGGACATCTCAAAAGTACTTCTTGTTTCAAAGTATTCTTTGCGTCAACATGATTGTATGCATTTTGAAGGAGCGCGTAGTAAGCTAATAATATTTTTATCATTGCACAAAAACGAGTTTTATTCAGCTTTGTAATGGTTGATGTACCATTTTAGTAAGCATAGAAAGTAACAAATCGTCACTAGATTTGGGATGCCAAAGACAAAGGCAGCGTTCACTCTGCTACTCTTTGCCGTCTGTTTGTTTTTTTCTTTCGTCACTTGGCTATGCCATAGAGGAGAGTGGACTCTTAATATATTATGTTATGCGTGAATAAGATCCGCTAGCAAACGCTTTGTTTTGGTGGAGCTTTTCCTGCGCAGGCATGTCCGATTTTTAGCCGGGGCCTCGCTCAACAACAGCCAACCCAAGCTTCGCCGAAACATATGCCCAATCCCTTTGTGGAAACAGCACCACTTAAGAAATTCGCTTAGACAGTGGTGCCAGATGCAAGAAACTCTATGCAGCACTTTCCGCTTTATGTATACTGAAACCGTGTTTAGTAGGAGTGAAAAAATAAACACACGTGGCTAGTGAATAACATAACACTTAGAACATGAGGGATGAAGAATGCTTGAGTAGGAAATGTATCAGGAGCCAGTGACACCACCTGTGACGAATTTCTCGATTTTTCATCCTTCATTCTTTCTCTTAACTTCTGCTTTGAACAGTAGATTAGTAGAACTACCAAAAATACATGCAAGAACACAAAAGATTCACATGCGGTACAGAACGTACGTACACAGAATGCCTAATTGTGGAATAGCTATGGTAAACTGGAGCTATGTGCCACTTTTACAACCACCTGGATTTTCGCGCTTACCAGAACATTTCGCAAATCTTACAATGTGATAAAAAACGGAGTAAACAAATAATTCAGTCGATGAGTGAAAACCTAGTACTGGGTTTGATTTGCGATAGCGCAATCAAAAACCACATGCACTAGAATATAAATACATGCTCGTTTGAACTGCACCCCCAACTAAGGGTACTCTACTTTGAAGAGAAAGAAAATATTGTGACAGAATAGGAGCATCCCACAAATGCATTTGCTTTTTTATTGAGGGCGCGTGGCGTGGAGTAGCAAACGTTGTTTCATATCAGTTCCAATATCATGAAACTGTGATCAAAGCTTGACTGAACAAGGCGGCGACACAAAATATATCGCATAATTTTTCATGTCTAACTTCTGTGAAATGTTATAGTTCAGGGGCTGTCGAGTGAAGAAACACCTAGCTTTCACAAATTTTCCTAGCTTTCACGAAACACCTAGCTTTCCCGAATTGCTTTCAAGAATAATTCATATGAATGTGTCTATATGCAATGCTTAATATTGATCCGTCATGGACGTGTGCTGGATGTCACTACATAATGGTAGGGGCCATGCGTGAGCCTTATGCACAGTGTGTATGTCATGCGGAGTGATATCGCGTGCTTTATCGCTGCTTCTGAGCTCTAGGTCTCTCAGTTCATCGAGACTTGATTTGATTAATGGGTGCGTTTCGCCAATTTTTCGCCAATCGAGCGTCTGGATTTTTCTCCATAAGCTTTAGCGACTGACTGCTAGTTATCGTGCATGTGCTGGTTCATGCATGCATCTTATGTATTTTATGCTGCCGTAGCGATGGCATTGAAGAAACGCATAGAGGTGATCGCTCTCCCCAAGTAAGCAATTCGTAATCTACCCGCAGCTTAAATAATGGCCTATATGCTTCATTTACTAATAATATTAGTCAGTGCTGGTGCGTCTATATAAATTTTGACATGACTGAATGATGTTACGCATTACCGCTTTAGTGTTGAACTGAACAAATTTCGCATAGGTTCCGGCGGTTGCTGAACAGCTTCTGGTCTTGCGCACCAATGTAAACTAAAGGCATTGGCGGGGAACAAATGCTTGAGCGAGTAGCCAGCTCATTTTCAACACTTTTCTCTCCTTTGTATGTCTAAAAAAGTCATGTTAATTTTCTTCTAAACTGCTAACAACAATAAAAGAGTTGACGGTTAACATTAGACACCTTTCTTTTACCAGAAAGTTTTCTTCTTCTGTGTTAGAAAGTGATAATTGAAGTAACCGGAAGTTTCTTGAGAAGCAACACGTGCTGACCAAAAAAGGTGAACACCGACCAAAAAAGGTGAATACATCTTCAAGCGCAAAGTTGGTTGGCTTGGACCACTGTCTCGAGAGCCTAAACAGAGTCTCAGAGACCTTCCTTTATTACGTTTGCACGTTGCAACTCATGTAAAGTATGGCAACATACAACGCGCTCACTGCAGTCTGAAAACCACCCCAGAACATCTGAAGTCACCATGCTTAGCCTTTGGCACTCACCAGGGAAGTGATGATATAATTGTGGTAGTACGTCATCATGTTTACTTCTCTGGCCTGCAAGAAACATGTTTCAGTGGACATGCTTCAGAGCAAGAAGAGAGAAAAAATTGTAAGCAGCACAACAATGAACGTCTCACAGCGAGCCGACTTGAAAAAAATGTCTGAATTGGCATGCCTTAATTGGCAGAACAGCTCGCAGATAGAAAGAAAAGAATAAAAAAATGGATTAGGATCTGCTACGAAGTTATGACGCTGACATGGCGAAGGCCTGAGTAATTGGAGGATTTCTCTTTCCAGCGCTAATCTTTTTCACGGATAGGCAATAATCCGATCAGCACTTCACCCGCAATATCAAAGGGTCCAGCCGGTAATGAATGCTGGATTACAACAGTATTGAAGAGTGGAGTGCAAAGGATTATTACATTGTTTGAACGCAGACATCGTTGCGTTCACTACGCACGATCGCAGCCCACAGTACTTGCTCGTTGTGCTGTGGCTAAAACGTGAAATAAGAGCTCGTGAAAAGAGTTCGGCAATCCACATACTGCCACACTTTAAGTGGATCGCGAAGCACTCAGCAGATATCCCTACCCTATGCAATGGGCTAACCATGATATGCTGATTTCGCAACTTAGCATCACAACTCCTGATAGAGAGTGAGAAGCTCTTTATAGAAAAACAGAGAAGTACCTGCGTGCTATTCTGTATAAGAGAAGGGTCATAAAAACACGGAGGCCCTTGAAGCCGAAGGGCAGGGATACACAAAAAAACATAATTGAAGGACCATTAAGATTCGCCTTCAAGAGCTGAATGTGATAGCGATAATCTGTGCCTATAGCGTACTTTATGCACTTATTGCGTACTTTTTAGGGGCGAAGCTCCTTACGCAGTGGGTTGTACGTCCCGTGTTTGTAGTAATAGCCACCTTTTCTTTAGTGCTTAGATAGTCCGCGGAATGGTGGTACTTGTATATGATGAAGACATGGTGAAAAAAATGCGAGATTACGGTGCTTTGAGTGTTCACTAGATGGACGGATAGATGGACGGGGTGGGGGGGGGGTGTAGACAGACAGACAGACAGACAGACAGACAGACAGACAGACAGACAGACAGACAGATGGACGGATGGACGGGCGAACAGACGGACGGACAGACAGACAGACAGACAGACAGACAGACAGACAGACAGACGGACGGACGGACGGACGTACGGACGGACGGACGGACGGACGGACACACAGGCAGACAGACAGACAGACAGACAGACAGACAGACAGACAGACAGACAGACAGATACTGCCAATTCGACGGACGGATGGATGCTTCACCCCACTCTTCATCATTCACTCCGTGGATAAGCTGTGATCTTTTATTCTTTCATGTTACTCGGTAACTTTCAATAGTACATTACTCTAATGTAATTATTAAAGTTTAAAATGAACATATGGTATCAGTGAAACTTTAGCATGTAGTGGCGTTTAGTGTAATGGGTAGCAAGTATTCAAATATCGAAAATATGCGCATAAAATTTTGTCAGACTTGAAGTGCACCCACTAACTCGTTTAAGGAAATACGCGCAGTAACATGCCTGCCTTTTATAATGGGTTGCCGACTTCAGCTACTTCCAAACTCCAGCAACCCTCTAACTACAAGCCCCAAACTAATGGCCTCACTGAGCACTTTCATCAAATTTTTTCCGATATGATACCAATGTACACAAACGTATTCAATACCAACTGGGATACCATACTGCCTTTCGTGACCTTTGTGTAAAACACTGCTATGCAGCGCGCCACGGGCTATTCAGCCTTCTTCCTTGTTTAGGGCCGTCAACCGACATTTGCCCTTGACGTCTTTTTTTTTATGTCCCCGTAAATTTGTGAACGCCATGGAGTAGCAACCTATACTCTCTCGCCTTATCTTCTTGTCGCCATGGCGCTCGCCTAAATTTCGAGGCAAGTTAGCAGGATCGGAAGATTCGCTACGATGAATTTCACCGCGTCGTTGAGTTTGGTCCTGTAGATGAAGTGCTGCTTCGAACCCCTCTCGAGTCCCAGGCCTGTCAGAGAAGTTTCAGTCACGTTTTATTGGCGCCCACGCTATGGCTGACCGAACTTCTCAAGTGATCTATCGCGTAACTCCCGCTGTCATGCCTTCCGACAACCGTTGTCGTGGCACGGAGGTTGTTCACGTTTCTCGTGTGAAACTTTTGTAAGACGTACACCACCATAAACAGCGGCCAGGTTCGCCGCTTCCGCGTGAGGTGAAAATTAGTGTGAGCACAGTATTCATTGCGTTTGTTCTTCGTCATATTCACCTGTACGTAATCGTTAATGTGAGCATCGTCTTCGTTCGTACAATTGGTTGGGCGGATTCGCTAAATAAACGGCGTCGAGACCACGGTATCGCTGCTGTCTTGCAATATTTACTTTTTAATGCTGCGCCTAGGTTACTCTGCGATTACATTGAATCTACGTTTGCAACTGCGTGTATAACTCTACTAGTTGGTTTTCTTAGGTAAGCTTGACTTGAACGCTTAACTGCTCCGCGTCATCGCTAACGCTCATATTGATTGACAAACGCGTTATTGCTGAACGTCTTTAAAATAAATACATTTGCTGACAAAAATGATATTAAGTGGACAAAAAGCAGCTACAAGAAGTGCAATATTCTACGAGAGACTCAGTGAAAAAAGAAGCCCTACTCCGCTTATAATATCATAAACCTAACTGACAAATCTGACGCTGTTTGTCTCCTGTAGCACGGCTTTCGATCGTTCAGGGCAACCTCTTTAGTGATCAAAGCTGTTGTCCCTTTCATAGCTGGCTTGCTAAGGGAAGATTGAGGTCTAATGACCTCGGATACTCTATTTTCTATATGTACTGCAGCGTAATATAAAGAATTTGATTGCTAAAATAAAAGAAAAATCAACAAGTGAGCAAATGAATATACAGCAAAAGGAAACAAATTAAAAACGCCTGGCCTGCACGTAACACGCTGCACAATCACTGCGAAAACTAGAAGAGCTGCCTTTGAGAACCATTTTTAAACACACTTTGGGTAGCTGCTACGAGCACACTTGTTGGGTACCCCCAACGCCATAAATAATGATAATTTTTGTGTAGTAGGTCAGCATTCATCATGATCAGCCTTCGTCATTCAGCCTTCAGCCTTCGTCTTCACCAGCCTTCGTAATTCTTCAGAGAAGATGATATCCGCTACACGCTTGCTAGGAATTTCATGCAATCTTTTGTGCAGTGGCTGACGACGATGAAAAATTATACCTGAAGAGGGTATGCGCCGCTCTTAATAGGTAATCAAGACCAAGTTATCCAATGGGTTGAAGCATTGGATTACTCATTACTCAATTCGCATTGTTTGACGCCTGACTGTTCCAATCATGTTTTAAAACGCTTTATCACTCACATTAACGCGATTCCTGTCCCAACACCAAGCCTGCCTAAGACCAGTTTAGAAACGCATTCCAATCGTTGGTGTGGCTTCGTGGTTGAATACTGGGGCAGTACGCAGGGGACCCGGGTTGGAATCCCATTGTCCCATTGGTGTCTTTCTATTTACTGACTTCTTTTTCGATATTGATTACAGACACCGGCGCCGGCGGCGGCGGACAACTGCGGTGCCGCGTGTGACCTGTGTTCTGAACTCATAAGAGCTTTCAATGTAAAAATAACAAGGTAATCTACTATTCGTATGCCGCAGTTCCCACAAGAATATCGCGTTCACAGACGCACATTTCTAGTTTTAGCTACAGCGTACGAGTTAATACATTTTTTGTATCACCAGATAGCTGCTCATTTCGAGCGCTTATTTTGTCCAGTGTACAAAACGAAGTCTTTTAGGAGGATAGTGGGCTTATGCCGATTGCACTTTTTAAGCCATGATCGAAGCAATTGCTGCAGCGTGAGAGGACGCCTGTCCTAAGTTGCCATTTTCTTCATTAGTGTTTTCTTTTCACTTGCTTGCCTCACATGTTATAAAAATATTGTGCTCAATGTTGTCATCTTCCTAAGCACATCAGCACTCCGTTGAGTTGCAGTGGTGTGCAGGAAACCGACTTCCAGGTGAAGTCCGTGAAGTAATATCTGTATGTGTCGGGGGAGATCTGTCACTATTGAGAATTTTCTTTCTGGAAATGTTCATAACACGATGATTGTTTGAAGATAGTGCTTATCAAACAAGCTCACCACATAACAGTGGGTACCTCCTCTAGTGCCTGCCCCTTAATTGCCCTTTATTTCGACGTAGCTGGGCATCCTATGAAACAGCTGGGTTTCTCTCTCTTTCTCTCCCTATCTCTACGCACACACACGCACACTACGGCGGTAACGATGGGCGACACCGAAGCTTGGGCACACATCCAGCAAGAGCGAAGCAGAGGAAAATGAAGCATAATAAAAAAATAGAGCAGCTATTGGTCAGCTGCCAGCTCCTGATAAAATCACATCTTATGCCTGACGCCAACAGGCAGAACAACAGTATCCTGCGCTCGCCGTCATCGTTACTGGGGCTTCCACGTTTATATGCCCAAATGCTTCCCATAATGTGGGTGGCGTGATGGCTGCTGTGGCACCTTAGCTTGTATCGCTTCAGACGCGTTATTTCAAGGTCCCAGGTTTAGTCCCTGTACAAGGCAAGTTATCTTTTCATATGCTTTTCTTTTACTACTAATAACACCTCCCATAGTTTACTTGACAGTGTTGTCTGTTACTTTTTAACAGTATCTTCTTTAAGAAAAGAAAAGAAGACCTTATAATTTGCACTAACCTCCGTCTTGATACAATTGTCATTTTCGCAGAAACAAATGCTTCATAGACACAAAACACACGAAAGCAGACAGCTACCGTACTGTTTACTAAGGCCAACATAAGCTAGCTATATTTGTCTACGACGAAAGTTGTGATAAGGAAATCATAGCTGATATAAATATTATACTGTGATATTGTTCAATGACATATTCATGACCTGACACTATGAAAACCAATTGTTACGCTATATATAGCTACAAATCTGTACTAGCAGCCACAAGGCGTCTTACCTCTCTCAAAAGTGCTGGTAGGGACGACGTCTTGATGTCTAAGATGATGTTGTACTGTTTGGTGACGCCGATGTCTTTCATCATCTTTTTGAAGGACAACTTTGGGTTCACTTGAACCAGTGAGACCGTATGGTCTTGAGCGAAGGAGCTATTTAGCACATCCTTGAGCAAAATCAAGCCTGTTTTTAAAAGTAAACAAATAAACACGATGTAGTTGAGAATAGTAGTTCAATTCTTTTTGCTTTAAGTATATACACTAAAAACATTTGAGGAACTTTGTTGCCCTAATGAGCCCCTGTAACAATTTTTCAAGTAGTCATGAGAGTAATTCACCAAAGGAACTTATTGCCTCACGAATTCTGCGCCGCAAAACGTTTTAGAACCCGTCCAATACGAGAGGAGTTACAACGATATGTCGCAGCTCCCATTGCATTCTCTCTTCGCTCGTCCAGATTGAAGCGCTGGAAGCTAAGCGGGGAGGGAAGGCATTCGGGAAGAGAATACGTCACGCGTGCTTCACTATCTCGAGCCCTTCTTTTTTGTATTCTTCGGATGTGGGGCCTTTGAATGCCATCGCGCGCGCACACGTGGACAAGTCTTGGCCTTTCGTGGTGACTCAGGTAGGCCTTACTGCCGAGCGTGCCGTGCACAAATCAGCCAAAGGCTGATACTCTGCCTGTGACCCATTGACTTTTGAGCCAGTTTCGCCAATTTGGAGGGAACAGTTATCAATCTTTGACTGACCTTGAAATTTTATTGTTTATTCCAGGCTGCATGCTGCGCTGTGAGTTTCGGCTCGAGTGTTCTCGGGAGCCTCGACCTCCAATCAGCAGTGTTTTCTGACCATGCTCAAAACGTGTTGCACGTGCTTTTAAGATTATCTGGCAGATTGAAACCTACGCGCGGCAACATGCCTGAGCGCATAGCCTGAAAGGAATCTTTAAAATTATCAACTGCTGAGCACAAAACTGTTTTGTGTGTGTTTGTAGCAAAAGTAAGCTGTGTCTACTTTTTGCGCTGAGCAGTTTATTCACAAAATACCAAAAAGCTCAATCCCACATTTTACTTGAGATATATGGAAACTTGGGAAGAGGAACTCACTCTGCTGGTCCTCGTACAGTATTGTGAAGGTCTTCCACTTCTTGTTCAGTATGATATCTAAGAAGGCCTTTCCGAAAAGGTCCGGATCTGGGAACAAGTTCAGGGTGTATGGGTTGCGGTTCGACGTCGGGTGCCACGTGGTCTGCAGGTGCGGCACGTTCAGGTTTGTGCAAGCGGACATGGCGAGTGACGTCACGGCCGGCGAAGTGGGGCCAACAATTGAAGACACCCTCTGCTTGAAGGACGTGCAAACTGGACGAAACAGTGTAGGAACTATTATTTGAAACGTTTGGAAAAAAGCCAATATGAAATATAAAATGAAAAGATATGAGCACTCCACGAAGAAAGCAAAAAAAAGATCGATCATTACTGCCTGCAGAAGCACAGCCCACTAAAAGCCAACATCAAATGACCAATGACCCTGTGCAACTAACACTTGCACCTGAATCGACTAAGTCAATACCATTGAAAATGGTGCGTATAGTTATCGCTCACACTTTAATGGCTACGAAAAAACTTGTTGCTGCCACACACCTCACATTTCGCAATGTGGTGCGAAACAAACAAGAAACATCGTACACCCGAATCAGCCATGATGTGAATGCAGCGATAGGGGAGCAACCTCTCAGCTAATCATTCGACAGGGTGCCAGGATTGTACCACATCTTTACTTAGCCATCCTGTCTTGTCATTGTTTGGTATGCAGGGCTCCGGCCAAACAGGTCTTCGAGAATGAGGATGGCCGATAACCACCAGTGTTGCATTCTAAGACTTGTTTACTTTCCAGCATCAGTCTCGTGAAGGTGGAGATAAAACACAGGTCGTTCTGAGAAAACAAGCAAATCGCTTCACTTTTTAGTATGTAATTCATTATGAAGCTTGTTTTCCATCGGAGTCAACCAGCGGTGGGGTGCATTTTGTGTTGCACAAAATCTGTATACACTCCTTCACACGTCTCAACAGGTCAACAAATCTCGCTAATATTCTAACCATCAATTGATGATTTTTTGATATGGGGGGTTGAACGTCCTAAAACCACGAAATGATTATGAGACACGCCGTACTGGAGGGCTCCAGAAATTTCGACCATCTAGAGTTGTTTAACGTGCACGCAAATCAGCGCACATGGCCCGGTAGCATTCCCGCATCCATCAGAAATGCAGCCGCCGCAGCTGGGACTTCTAACCGTCGAATCAGGCACGCTGATGAAACGTAGCTTTAGAGTTTCTTTTAGGAGCGAAGCTCCTTAACCTTTCCATGTTCGTCATCGTCGTAGGTACCCGGTGTGTCGAAACGCTGGTGTTGTGCAGATCGTCTACAGAGTGTACATAGCACGCATCTGGATTAAAAATAGACCATACTCTGTTAGTTCATCTATCTTTGAATCTCTGTATTTATTTATCCGTGCATGCGTGCACCTATCTGTCCATACGCCCGTGTGACTCTTCCTACGCCTCTCCGTCCGTCTGCCCATCTATCCGTTTGTCCATCTGTGCGTGCGTCCATTCATCCATCATCCGTCCGTTATAATAGTGGGCGACTTCAAAGTAGACATTAAGGACTTTAGGACCAAGCTTCACTTCATCATCAGCATTCACTTCGTGAATCTGCAGCCATTTTTTTTTACAGCAGATCAGTTTTGTGGACTTTAAAAGAGTTGACTGTTGGGCGAGTCAGTGTTCTGACATGGAAACCATCGTGAGGGCGCAACTAAACACAAACACATTGGAAGAGACAGACCAGGACATGCGTGTTTAATTTTGCTCTCATGATGGCTTATGTGTCAGTTGTGTGCTTTGCAGCCCTGTTCGTGGCATCTCTTTGTGGTGAACGCGTTGAAACGTTACACACATTTTTACAATAATTTTACTATGACGATCATGACAACACATACACCTGCATGAGGCGTACCAAAGCACATGCGAATCTATTGACAGTGCGGAGTATCTCAAATTGCAGTTCAGTTCCAGGCAAGAAAGGTAGGTGCGCGCGGTGCATTTCAAATTTATTGAAGCATTTCTGCATCTGTGACATTTTGTCCTCGAGGACAGTCATGTGAACATCTGACCTGAAGAAAATTAGATAAAAGTTAGTTCATAATTCTTCGTAATATTTTTGTGATATTTATCACTGATTGGTTAAGAATAGTGAGAAAGAGCAAACCTTTGTACCTTTTCTTCTCATTAGTCACGTGCCTGCACAACTGAGCAGTCATCCGAAATATATTATTAGTAATGCTCAAACGCCATTAGAACATTGACATTGCAGGACGGATGCGTACAACTCTTGTTTAAAGTCAGATTTCAGTTTCCAATGTCATTTTCTGTTTGATAAATTGACAAAGAAGTCATTTAAAACGTGATCTGACGTTTTTTTTTTTTACAGCTTTCTCACAATGCGCGTGTCGTAACAAGGGGGCACATAGCTAATTCACTGGGCCCAAATAGTAAAGTGGAACGCCTTTACAAACTAAATATAAAACAAGAGAGTGCTTTCACCATAATTACACCCAGCGAAGGCAGCTGAGTGCTATTGAGAGTGGGCTTTCTTTTCTACCAGTAGTCTTCTGAGATATGTAACAATGTTTTGAGTTACACGATGAATGTCCTGGGTCCCCATGGCATTCCAGTGCTACGTGTGATACAATTGCTTACGCGAGGGCTATTAATCAGAGAGAGCGTCCAAGTAATCGAGGAGAGTGGGCGAACGCCACTTTAATTATCCCTCTGCAGTGCTCCTCATTTTATACCTGCATGTTTTTCCGACCTTTTCGTGGTACGCTCTCATGAAACAGCTACTGAAGAACCATGGTCGCTTCACCAAGCGATTATGTGGAGACCTGCGAAGCAGATTTAGCTAGGCGTTACCCCGACAAAAAAAAAAATGCGTGACGCGCAATGCAGTTTTTGTACTGCTGAAAAGGTTGTTCACCGTGAACAATCTACTTGGTTGCCACCTTGGCGTAGCAAATAAAATTTTGTATTTCCGAACAGTATGTTGGAAACTTTTATCAGATAATGCAGCACTCAAACAAAGTGTCAACAAGATAACCAGCCTAGAGCCGACGCGATTTTTTTACATCAACGTTCATGGCAGTTCATTCTTTTTTGAAGCAATTTATTTGTACATTGATAATATTTTTTACAAAAGAAAGTAAGTTTTGTGTTTTCTGTAGGTGAGCTAAGTGACAAGTAATTTGCGGAGGACAGAGAATGGCTTGGCGGCCTCAAGCAATAAAGACTAAGAATATTCATTGCTGAATGATTGAGATATTTGTAACGCTTTCAATGCAGTCTTTTGACAGAAAATTGACTGAATTGATTTTGCATGCTTGATAATTTAGCCTTGTGCATGGCAAATGAAGGCAAATAAACATAACTACCAATCATACGCTCCACCGTTTGTCATCTGCTGCTGAAGAAGAGGTTGCATCTTGAATTCCTATTCGCGTTGACCACAGTTCAATAGGTCTAAATGAGATAAAAACTGCCACGCATGCACGAAACGCACAGTACAGCCAAAAAAAAAAAAAGCCGGAAGAGCGACCTTATGGAGCATTTTAGAACACTCTTTGGATAACGGCTACAGATATACTTGTAGGGTACCCACTACATCAAAAATCATCGTAGTTTTTGTGTTGGTTGGTTGGTTTCTCAACATCTTGGCGTAACCCACTTTGCGGGATAGGCATTCACTATGCCATTCTTCGTTGTTTTTTGGAGAAGCGTGGTGTTTCCTACGCACTTGTGAGGATTTTTTTTTTGCATTTTTAATGCTGTGCCTGATGACGATTAAGAATTATGCCTGAATCTTTTGTAATGAAGGGGGGGGGGGAGAAGGGGTCGTAGGAGCATTTGACGACTCATTCGTTACGCAGTTTGCACTGTGTGACAACTGGTTGTTTCTTTGCTTTTCTAAAACACATATTACTCATATTAACAATGTTTATTTCACGACATTAAGCCTTCTTAAGACCAGTTTTAAACAGAGTTTCGAGCATCGCCGTGGCTCTCTGGTAGCACACTTGGCTATCACGCTGAGGACCCGGGTTTGAATCCGAAGGTGTCCTTGCATGTTTTAAGTGCTTGCAAATGACACCTGTTGCCACCAAAACATATGTGCATGTTAAACTCAATTTTAGCGTGCATTGATGACTTAGATGTGATCATTCGGGTAAACAACAAGTCTGCGGCACCTTTCTTTTTAATTGCATATTCCTGCAGCTGGTTGGCCATTCTTAATTTCCTACTTTTGCAACCACTGTTTTCATATTTTCAGTTGATGTGAACGGGCGCTCTATTATTGGCTGACAGCTAAGAACTTTTTCTGTACTTCGATCAACTGCCCATTTGGCCATATTTATTCGTCACTTTTTCGCTCTCGTTTAAAGGGCATGAAGAAAAAACTGAAACACGGGAATGCTTTTCTTGTTTCTTTTCCTCACTCCTATTCTGCAATTTCGACCCGTACCACCTTCTCTATTCTTCAATCATACTTTCGCTCTCTTCTTCTGTAATATTACTGGTTATTTCACATAGAGAGATTGCTCCATGAAGGCACGCACTGAGCGTAATCTTGACACGTCTTTATGAGCGCTCTAAAGCAACCTTTATCTTTGTTTCACAGTGCAGCTATCACTGAGCGCTATCACACAGTTTTTCAGGGTGAAATCAGACAACGTGACTGGACCTTAAGACATTCCATGAAAATGAAAGCAACTACCCACTACATCATAAAGTGGGTCTGTTGTGATGCTTACTAGCTTTGGATGCGGAGAAGCTGTCCTTTGGCTTCACCTCGTGTATGACAGGCATAAGCTCGGTCTTGGGCAACAGGGTGATGTCCTTGTTGATCTTGTCTAGGGCATGGCGGAAGCTGAGTTGCGCCTGGTGGTTGTCGCTCTCGAATATGCCACCTGGAGTGTGTAATAGGCAGAGAAGTGAATGATAGCGTGTACAAAATTAAACAAAAAATTTTAGTAATGAGACATAATTAGAGTGATAAGAGCAATGGCAAATGAATTCCAGGCAAAATATTTTGTTGGTTTAATTCAGATTTATGGTGATGTTTAAAAGTAAAATCATGCCCCGCCGTGGCGGTCTAGTTGCCAAGGTACTCGGCTGCTGACCTGCAGGTCGCGGGATCGAATCCCGGCTGCGGCGGCTGCATTTGTGATGGAGGCGGAAATGTTGTGGGCCCGTGTGCTCAGATTTGGGTGCACGTTAGAGAACCCCAGGTTGTCGAAATTTCCGGAGCCCTCCACCACGGCGTCTCTCATAACCGTATGGTGGTTTTGGGACGTTAAACCCCACATATCAATCAATCAATGAAAAGTAAAATCAATCGTGATCGGAGGTGAAATAACAATTCGAATGTTTTTTTTTGGAAAAGCGTTTCAATTTGCTTCACAGAGAGTATAAGAACATTGATTTTACGCACAGTGTACCACCGCGTATAGTGCCAATTGTACCGTGGGTACAGCGCGAAAAACGCCGACGAAGACGAGATGTGAACCTGGTTGAGCACTGTACGGCGTCCAATTATATTCTCATGTCTCACTGTACATCGTCATCCTCTTGCAATGTTTCCAATTTGGTACTGCTTACACAAAGCAGCTGTTATTTAAAAATACGCTTTTTTATTTGAAACAGGAGATACTGAATTGACGAGGCTGCGCAGTACGATATTTTGCTCTGCTCTGCCGAAAGCATTACCTATAGAGAGCAATACTCGTAGGGGCTCCAGCCACTGCTTGAACTTTCTCATCTGTCGTGGCACCAGGCCTATGGCCCGAAACTCTGTCACAAGGCAATGAAAGCACTGAAATAGTCGATGTGCATTGAATTCAGTGATGGAATCGGGGAACGTTTTTACGTGGTTTGTGATTTAACATTCGAACGCCCTCAAAGACAAGTGTCAGTAAATACTTGAAAGAGTGTGCAGTTCCTCGGTGCAAAATGATTTTGTTGTGTGTCCGAGTACATGGCTTTGTCGTTATGAAATGCGTACTGCGGCAAAAATTTATTACCCCGTAAAATTTAGCCGTATACACAAAGTTTCGTACACATCATCACTAAATGTGACAAGAAAAATTATTCAAAACTAATTCCGAAATTCTGAATTAAGTTACACACATTCAACTTTGACTGCACGTCAAAAGTTTCGTTGCACATATTGTTTCCATATGTAAACTTTATTCCTTGTATCAGTTCTGTTGTGAGCAGGGAAACTTTTTGAACGTTGCATGTGTTTATTTTAAACGCGACAAAAGACCACATGTTCCGTCGACCTCAAACGCCCGCTTTGAAAATTGCCTGGACATCTCGCCTAATATTCTACCTGCCCAACCCATATCCCCCATAATCCTCGTAGGGTAATTTTACCGCGAATAACAAAGTGGTCACCACAGACAATAGAAGCATGCGTATAAAACTTTCAAGTCCAGCCTTTCATTCAAAAACAAAAAGGCAAACACAGCATAATTTTCTATTAACTCCCTATATGTTTCTCCGACAGTTACTAGGCGTCGTGCCATTGCAGACACCACGAACGTTGTCAATGCGTGTCCTCCGAGATGACATCGACGTCTTTGCAGCTTAAAGCACCACCCACATGTAACGTGATGGCAATTAACACAAAGCAACGGAACGTTTCGCAGCATGCGTGGGTCGGTCTTGTGATTATATTTGGAAGTACACCGTATTTAGAAACCCAGCGTCAAAAAAAAGCTTTGGCTGAGAAAGGGTAATTACCCTTACGAAGCGGTAATTAACCTGAAGTTGAGGTCACTACCTTGAATGAAGCGCGTGCAAATATACGCTTTAAAATACAATAAGATGACTCACCAGTACAGGCTGCTCGACTCTCCACTCCTTGCTATTAATTTTTATCACGTGAGGCCCAGGGATTGTTTTGAGATGCAGATAACTCAGAGCTATCTTGAAGAACCCGCTCTGGCGATGTTACTTGTGTCATTAATGACCCTGAGTCGTCTTCTTTCATTACAAGAAAGCAGCTACGCAGTAGCTATTATGAGCTGTGTCTAAAATAGCATGAAGGTGATGTTTGCCTCAAAGTCCGTGAATTGAAAAATGAAATCTGATAGACTAAGCATTTCTCCAGAGAATGCCTGGAAAGCAATAGCTGCCCATAAAATACGTCATAAGCGACGTATTTTTCGTGCTATCTGTTACCTCATTAATTTCGTATTATGCGCATCTTTTATATGTTCAGCCTAACATGGTGCTGCTGATTTTGGATCAAAGCTTTGTAACTTGAATTACCTCGCTTCAATTCAAATTTAGCCTGCCCACATTTGTTTTCATTTCTTAGCTGCAGAACCAGAAGCTTGTACGGATTACATAATCCGCTAATCGCAGCATGCATCGTTGTTATCTACCATTAGCAAGCCTCTAACATTATATCTCCGAGTTACAGTTTGTGCGAGCATGTATCGCCGAATGTGCTCTGTTTATCTCTCTTCCCTCTCTGCTCTCTATCTTTCATCTCCCCCATCCTTTTCCCATGCGCAGGGTGGCAAACCGGCTTCCAATAGGCTGGGTAACCTCCCTGCCGTTGTTTTCCTCCTATTTTCCTTCCTTCCTACAAGTTGCAGCTACGGCCAAAAGAGTTGAGCGTCAACACGATAGTTAATCACTTCTGTTTAAAAAAGAAAAGGCGTTCTTTGAGCTCAAAACGCAGCTGCGTTTCAGCCTCTGGACTAAACACGACATCCACAAACTGCTCCTTGATCACCCGGGAGCTTTCCGTGTACCGTGCCACAGAGAGAAAAATGCGTGAGCTCGGTTTGGAAGAAAGGCGCGTGTTCATTATTACACGCTTGATCTCGGGGTACAGGGATCGAACATGCACGAAATGCGCACGCTCGTTGTGCTTCCACGTCTTCACGCAAATGAACCGCGTCAAAACAGTATCTTACATAGCACGCGCATTCAGCTGACGGTGTAAGCGTTCGGGGCCCCTCCGCCACTAACAATGAGTCGCAACTGCGGAAGCGAGGTTTCCTCCACGCGGCCCAACGCCTCAGACAATGAGTCCGTTCCGCATTTCGTGGTAGCCATAAATCAAGGCCTCCCCGACCCTTAGCAGGCTCCGGCAGATGATACATTCTTTCTGCCACGTTTGCTGCCATGTTTGAACGTATACTTCGGTGAGGCTCGTATCACGTATACGGCTGTATCAACTCTCTCTATTTCTCCCTAAAATATAGTAAGTAGAAAGCACTAGTGCGTATAGCAAGAAAGAGCGAGCTCCGGAAACCTCAACGGCATTGTCGGGGAGGCGCGAAATTTTGTGCTCTTGTTTTCTGCACCAAGCCGGCAGTCGGTGGCTGATGCGAATACCCGCTCACTCGTAACAGTCGCTACGCGAGACGAGGAGATAAAAGAGGGTCAACACTTGCAGGCGGCAAGTGATGGTGTTTCTGTGCCAAGGCGAGCCGAGTCAAGGCGAGTTCGATCGGGGTTGCGACGCTCGCAGTCACGCTGACCCGAAGCGGGCGCCGATAATCAAGTTGCTGCTCCGGAAATTTGGAAGCCAGGCGCCTTGCAGAACAAATGATTGCGCGCCCCAGACGCTGCTTGCGATCGAGACAAACGCAGCGGCGGAGGCTTTTCTGCGAGCGTTAGCCTTACGTCGCTTATTTTCCTCCCGCGTACGGCGTCCGGACAGCGACAACTCGAACGCCAGCCGTTGATCAATTCGCTCCTTCCGGACTTTTTCGCTTAAAGCCCCCCTCCCCTCCCCGAGCTCTCTTCGTGCGGTGTCACAAAGTGGCCCATGAGCCAGCGTCAGGCGTATAGCTGACGCGCAATGAGAAATGTGTCTCCCGACCGCTTTGTTTGCGGACAAAGGGCTAAACCTTCTCTGACAGCGACGGTGATTAGGCTCGGGCGTATTTCTAGGCCTCCCCTTCGTCTCACATAGCAGAGTACACTTGGATGTCTGCGTTTCACTATCTGGGAATTGGCCTTGACGTCAAGCGCTAGCCTGTAACACGCGTGTTAGAATGAGTCGCGTCAATGCACCATGAAATGCTTCTTATGCTAAGCGTTCAAATTAGATTTAAATACATTTAGAGAACGATTGCAAATGACTGCCGCAAGTGAAAATGGTTACTCTTTTCTAATGAATATGAATGTGGCACAAGACGCAGCGGACTCTCCTTTAGACCTTGATAACACATTATCATTTCTAAACCTAATTTCACGTCTGCCCACTCCAGTGACGAAAGGTTCTTTTTTTTAAAAAAAGGGCAAGTATCCACTACAGCAGCATCCAAACAAATATGTGTAAAGTATGCTGTACCCAGGAATGTCTGATGCAAACACATTTATGAGAGTTGTCAAGGATTATGTCATGCAAGCATGATTGCCACCTCGATGTTACATTGCAGGATGCATCACCTACGCTTTCTCTATGCAATGTTTATCAGCATTGAGCGTAGCCGATACGTGGTTCATGTGATTATCACTCTACCAATTCAGTGCTACAAAAAAGCAAGAAAAAAAGCCACTACCGCAGGCTAAACGGAAAGTTGGCTTCAAACAGCATAACCGACAGAGAATCCACATAGTCGACACACTCAAAGATTCTCTTTTTTTAGATCTGTTAGGCAATCTGGCCAGTTACTGTGGAAAAAAACACAGACTGAAAGGAAGCCAAATTTCTTCGTAAGTCAAGGTTCTTGGTGAGTCTTTCGCTTTTAACTGGGTCATGTTCCGTGCCTCAAGAAAGTACAAACTCGACCGTGCCAAAGTAAGAAAAAAAAAATCTCAGCCATCCCCTTTTTGCTTTCCAACGTCATCGCTTTCCAGCATGCTCGCGCAGACCAAGTCGAGGGGTGTATATCCACACGAGGCAAACAGGCAGAACGCAACTCGCAGCGTATGGCCG